CCCTCAAAAGATACTTGTGTTTCCTTAAAATTGCGGGTGCTTTTGCAAACAGTTATTAGTTAGCTTGTACGGAAAAATCTGCTAATGACCAAGCCCGCAAACTCTGACCCAGGACTTTGTGGGGGTATTATACATATATGTATTCTTGTAATGTTTTTATGAATATACATTAGCTATATTTTAATTTATTGACAAAATTAATCAAATCAAGATTTGGTAAGCTGTGATATTCTTGTTTTAAAAGCTCATGTTTGAAGCCATGATTTTGTCTAAAATTAGCTGCAGCACATGAATATACATGAGCTATTTGTTCACACTGAGCTACTTACTCTCTTATAGACATCTATAGTATTTGTCATGGCACAATTTTTGTAAAAAGTTTTTTAAAAATCAGTGTAGTGAAAAAACTAGACCTTTGATTTATGTTTTGGTATAAATTTATTTGATATCCTCTAAGCCATGGTTTATTCTTGCTGCTGATCTGGCATGATATCCAATCTTTAAGCTTATTTTTAAAAAAAGTTTTTCTTTTGAGTTCTGAGGAAAATGTGGCTGCCTTTTGAAACCAATTATTTTGTATTCATTTCAAGTGAACTAGCAATATGAGCAAGAACAGCTGAGAGGAATACAGGCAGCAGAGCTAGGACACGAGTGGGAGCAGGTGATGAGACTGCAAATGACAATTGCATTGTGACCTTTAGCAAGAGCCTGAGTTTAAATTTTATCATCCTTGAAATTCATCCATTCACTGAAGACCTACTATGTGTTGGTAACTCTTTCACGTAGTAGAGATGAAGTAGTATACAAGAAGTGGGGCAGATGACACAGCAAATGCAAATATCTCTAGCAAAACCAAACTTATTTGTTTGAGGAAAAAAAGCCCAGTGTAGATGCAAAGTAATGAGGAAGGGAAAGAAGACACGGTTGTAGAGGAGTTAAAGAACTATACAGAGCCAGACTGTGGTCCTAAGAGGCAATACTAAGGATATTGATCGTGTGCTAAGTGAGATAAAACTGATGAAGAATTTTAAGCAAAGGCATGACGTGATCTGATTTACATTTGTGTAAGATTGCTCAAGTTGTAGAAAGACTGGGTAAGTGATGGACAGTGAGCACCAAGCCAAATTGGTAGGATAAACAGCAGAAGTAGAAGCAATAAATACTGGTGGATTGTAACAAGACAATAGTAGTAGAGATGGTCAGACACAGACTGTATTTTGTATGGACATGACTTTCTGATGGGTTGAATGTAGATAAGAGGAAAAGAATGAAATCAATGGTTGTTATGATTTTTATTTTAAGTAGGTACATTAAGTTACTCAAGGAAGCGTAAAGACTATCAGTTTAAGGGTACACAGATTAATAATTCTGTTTTTAATATGGTAACTTAAGGTGCAAAATAGGCAGCCAAATTGTGAGATGCCATGTAGGCACCTGGGTTACACAAAACTGATGCTCCATGAAGATAGGTAAAGGCCAGCGTACTAATATTATCTATAGCCAGAGGAATGAGTTAGATTTCTTGCAAAGAGAATGTATATGTACAGAAAAACAGAGAACACAGGCCAAGAATGTTGCTAGAAAATGAAATGACTGTAAATCAATCTTGCTGTCACTAATAGTTGGGGCCTACAGAGCAACTTTCCCTAAAAACTTGGAAATTAAAGAAATAATACTGCTATCAGGATTAAATTGTGAAATCAACATGTAATAGGCCAGAGCAGAGATAGATAATGCTACTTTCCAAAATCTGTGACTTCACTAGAATCTGTGCTATAGGCTAAACCAGTCATGGTGAACCTTTTAGAGCTTTCAATAACAAACAGGTGGCTATGGCACACATGGCATAGGTCCCCCATGACTGGGCTAAACTTTGCATCTCAAAAACTCATATGTGCAAGCCCTAATATCCAATATCTCAGCAAGTAACCTTATCTGGAAATAAAGCTTTTAAAAAGTAAGTTAAAATAGGGTCTGCCAAGTAGGTCCTAATCCAATATGACTGATAGCCTTAAAAGATGAGAAAATTTGGAAAAATGTGTGCACACAGAGGAAAGATCATGTGAATGGAGATAGAGGGAAAAGACAGTCATCTGCAAACCAAGGATAGAGGCTTCTGAGGAAATCACCACATTGATCTGGGACATCCAGCTCCCAAAAGTGTGGAAGAGTAAGTTTCCATTGTTAAAATCACCATTCTGTGTGTCTGTTGTGGTAATCCTAACAAACTAATATCAAATTATTAAATATAACAATATAAAAAGTAAAAAAAAAGGTCAGTTAGAGACTTGATCATGTAAGGAAGCACAGAAAAAGATATAAGATATGCTAGTTTGAAACCAAAATGATCAGTTATAGGGCAGCAATTTGGAAAAAAGGTTACATCAAAGGAAAAATGAGTGGGTAAGTCCAAAATGCAAATATATCCATACACTAGTCATCAGAGAGGCTGATAAAATACTGATATGGGGAGAGATATCAAAGCAAGTAAGAGATTAAAATAAAATACTGATGTGGGAAGGGGCATCAAAGCAGGTAAGAGATTAGAAAGATAAAGTGAATATATGACCTGAAATGTACAAAAGTAGAACCCACTCTGAGTAAGGGGTGAGCATGGTTTCCATTGATCTTGCAAATGGTGGATTAAATTTGCCTTCAGATTCCTTACTTTTATATATTCACGGACACAGCCTTTGAAGAGAATGGTTAGTTCAGACAGAAATTCATTTCTTACATGAAGTAACCACCAATGGTCTCCGATATTTATTCTCCCTTCTTAATAAGAATCCTGATTTTTTAGAGGCACATCTCTACCTCAATGAAATATAACTTAGGTTTTGCTTACAGTTAAATATAACCATACGACTAGGTCCCTGATCAATGAGGTACAAGAAGTGTATATTTCTAGGTTTTCTTCACTACCTTCTTGGAATGTGGATATGATGGTGGAAATTCCAAAAATAATCTTTGCCATCTTCACTCATAATAAAAAGGTACACCTCGGGGATGGGGGCAGAAGTGGTGACAGAAAGATGGAAGGAACCTGTCACTCTGGTGACTGCAGACCTTCCCTATAGCCCAGGGCAGTCCATCTCTTTAGAGTTCTTTAGTGTGAGAGAAGTAAACTTTAATTTGCATATAGAATTAAGTGCTTATTTCTGCACTATCCTTCTTTCACAAGCCATCTCTAGCTTATTTTGTCAGCATGATCTCACAGACTCTATGCTCCTTTCTCTCTTTCCCAAATATCCGCATTAGCATTCCAATTTCATAGTATTTTTTTCAATTGTTTTATCTGAGTGTAAACTCCTATTTCCTGTTTTCTGATTTCTGCCTTCCTATATATTAGTTTCCTATTCTTAAAATGATACTTCTATTAGGGGACAAAGGCAATATGCTTGTCCTCCCTGTCACTCCACATATTACTGGCATCTCTGAACTTATTTAAATGATTCCTTCTTCTTTCACTGCCATATGTGTGTCCTCTGAAGCTACGTGCTGAGATCAAAATGACAATCTTCCAAGGTATAGAGTAGCGATTTTCATCCCAGTGGTCTACAAGAATCTGCATAGTGTTTTCACTTCCAAATTTTTTTTTAATTTCTATTTGATTTCTTTTCTCTTGGCATTCCAGTGCCACTTATCTTTTTTCAGTCTGTTAAAACATGATCATTTTATTTATTCATCTAGCCAACACATATGGAGGAGGGTCAGAAGTTAGGATAGCATGAATCTGATTGAGTTCTACATAGAAATGTAATTCTGAAAATTCATTGAATCATGGGAATACTTTTAGTGAGCTATTTACAAGGATAAGCAGTTTGGAGATCTTATGTTCAAATCAGACAATTGGAAAAGGTGTAACTAAACCCTGTTAGATTTGTCTGCTGTGTTCTTGCTATTATTCCATGCCAACTTCTTTCAGAGTGAACAAATAAGAGGATTTCCTGTGGAATTTGCCTGTCTTGTTTTGTTTGGCAAACACAGTAGTTGCTGGTTTTGTTTTTAAATTTGAATGCCTATATATTGGCGCTGGTACAGAGGGCCTGTACTCCAACCCTCTAGTATTCCCCCAATCCTTGTGACCATCTCACACATTTGGGTCATCTTCCTGGCCCTCAAGGCTTTTGTTTTTGTTCTCTTAAGTTTCCTTCAAAGCTGTTTGAAATGACACGCCCTATCCCAAAGTGAAGGAGTCTGGGCACTTTATTTCTAAGGGTTTAAAAGAAAAAAAAAAAAATGGAATCTCCCCCATTGTCAAAAAAAGAGACTTTTCTCTTTTCTCTTTTCTCAGAGTATTTCCTTGACCAAACTTGTAATTATAATCCTTCTTCTTTATCTCTATAGGTATACATCTTTTTTTAAAAAAAAAAAAGTCAAATAAGCATCTTGTCAGATATAAACCAGGAACGTAGACTCTGAACAGTTAAATAAATTTCTTGCCACATTCAAGCCAAGAATCTTTTTCTTAAGGTCCCGATCAATAACCTTTTGAAATGTCAAGGAACACAGTGCTCTCATTTTCTGACACTATGATAATTATCCCAAATGTCTTGATCCAAGCTCTGTAAGTACTTGTCAGAAAGAGAAGTTTTGTTTTGCCTTTGGATAAATTAACTAACACGCTGGCCACGCCAAGGGACAATTACCAAATAGTAAACAGAACTGTCAAGTCCTCCCATGTAAGAATATATATTCTGTGTATTGCAACTGTTTGGCTACACAAAAGGTACGATTTCTGTCTGACTTTGTAATCTCATTAGATTGCCTGTGACGCTCGTCCCATTCTGTTTTGACGCTGGTACAATAATAAAACTGATTTTTTTCTTGTTTTCTGTATGTGTAGAGATTTTCTGGAATAGCTGGAGACTGAAAAAATTTCCTTGTCCACATCCATTCACTTAATGTCCCCCATCTTATAGCGTCCCTCTGCCGCCACCTTCCCAACTTCTTTCAATGGTAAACTGTCTGTTGTAGCTACTCGTAGGTTTACCTCAAAGCGTGCTTTGAGAGAGCGGCGGGGCACAGTAACCGCCATCGCCAACTCCCGGCATTCCCAGCGCCGCCGCCCGCGGCTTCCTTTTCCGGTCCGCGGGCTGCGGAAGCTGAAAGGGCTGTGATTAGCCTGTGGCTCCGGGGGCTGATTCACCTTCACCTGTGCAGAGCCCCGGGCCGTCCACAGAAGCAGCCAGGCGAGCAATAAAACATGAACGGAAGAGTGGATTATTTGGTCACTGAGGAAGAGATCAATCTTACTAGAGGACCCGCAGGTAGGATTAGGGGACTTTGTGTCCTTGCAGAGCTAACAGTAGTTTTTCTGGGCCGGATTTACCTGCCCTCAGAGCAGGAAGGCCACGACCTAGAGGTTTCCTGTAACTCTTTATGGCACGTAGAAAGAATATATTGGCATCCATCACTGGCAGGTCACGGGACTCCCCTTGATAGCCCAGTCGGATCCCCACCGGTATTTATAGTCAGAAATTTTCTTTCTGATAACAGTGCTAGAAAAGAATAGGCACAGGCTGGCTTGTGACCCAGCATATCGTGGGCACCACATCCTGGCCGCTGTTGGCTGCTCTATCTCAGTTCGTAAGATGAAACGTGTAGTAAAAATGGGAGCATAAACGATGTGGACTATGAATGCATAGCTGTTTTCCCGGAGCAAAGATCCCTCCCTCTGTCCTTTGATTTCTGGGAAATGCATTCACATTGTCAACTGCAATGTTAGAGCAGGAAGAGACCTCAGAAACCGTCTGTTGCCGAAGCTTGCAAACTTAGTATACCTGCAAAATTATTAAAGGTGTTTTGATTTTGCTTTTTGATTAAAAAATTAAAATTCAGATTCCTAAATTCTATCTTTAAGGATTGGGTTCGATATGAATTTTTTTAAACACCTCGTTGTTCAGATATAGCCAAATCCTTACTTACCTGCGCTGTCCTCTTCCTCTCTGATCCCCTTCCCTAGGCTGGGCCCTAAATGTTACTACCAACTGCCTTCCTTGGACTTTATTGCCTTTTCTTGACAGTTATGTAGTTATCCATTTAGAGCTTTTGCTTTAGGATTACACTACGTAGGATCAAATCTTGTGTCTAACTTCGTTCTATATATGTATTTATTATCTATAAAAAATATATATATAATAAATATATATGTATAGAGAGAGTTAACCTGATGTGACCCTTATTTTCTCATTTGTAAAGTGGTAATGATTGTGGAATACATTTCATGGTGTTGTGAAACTGAAATGGGTTATTCTCTCAGTGTGTTTGCTACTCTTGTTATTGTTAATGGATTAATGGCTAGACCGACATATAAATCCTGCTATATTCTCTATTCCCAGAAACTCTGATAAGCCATCAAACGTTATAAGCTCTATCTCCAAATTGTTTCGAAAACCTTTCATTCTTTTCTGTCACCATTGCTACTATCCAGAACAGTTCATTGCCTTTTCTTATTTGAAAGTTTGCAATAGTTTAATCATCAATAGAATATTCTTTACAAAAGCAGCTTCAACCTGGGTATGGTGGCACACACAAGTAACCCCAGTGCTCTGGGAGGCTGAGGCAGAAGGACTGCAAGTTCAAGCTCAACCTGGGCAACCTAGCGACTTGGTGAGACCCTGACTCAATTAACAAAAAATAAAAAGGGCTTGGGATGTCTTTCAGTGTGAAGGCCCTAGGTTCAATCTCCAGTATCACCAAAAAAAAAGTGTGGTTTTCAGAATTAGCCATACCTTGTGTGTCTCTTCCTGTTATAAAAAATTGAAAGTTGGTCTTACTCATAGGAGTGTAACTCATTGTCAGTCTTTGTGATTTAGAATTGTGCTCCAGGTGAGCTCCTGAACTTTTATTCACTCATCCCATATGCCTAAAGTTCTTACATTAGTTTTTCCACCTTTATATAAATTTCTTCTCAGTACTTAGTAACTTTTGAGGCTAACATGGTAAACAATTTTTTAAAGCAAAATTTAGTTTTCTTTATTTTCATTTTATTGGTACTGTACTTCTTTTAGGGACCAATTAAAGCAAGTTTTTGATTGCTGTGCAAGTACTTAAAGACATCTAGTTGTTTTGCCTCTTCCTTATTTAGTTTAACTATCCTATTATTGCTTTGCCTCTTGGATTGTTGTTTGAGGTCTGCTTCTTGCTTCATGCTTAGTAAGAGTTTAATCTACTTTGATGTGGTCCCTTTGCTGCAGCATCCACACTATGTCCAGTATCTCCTGACAAGAACAATGTAGAATTTAGATATTACATTTCTTGTTTTAGAAATAAAAATAAATATTTTTATTTTTCAAACATTTAATTTTTTATTAGTACATGCTTGCAGTACCGAATGTTTACATTCCTTATGGGGCATTGGTACATGAACATGACCCATTAATTCCTGGAGTTGGGAGTGTAGCTCAGTGGTATAGCCCTTGCCTAGCATATGTGAGGCCCTGGATTTGGTCCCCAGCACCCCAAAACACAAAATATCTTAGTTCCTTGTTTTATCCCTTTTCCCTCCCACCTCCTTCCATGTCTTCATCCCTTCTCATTTGAAAAAGATCTCTTTACTTCCTATCATCTCTTTTATTTTGCTCTTTATTTATATTTTGGGTTCCTCGTATAAGAGAAATCATGCAGTATTTAAGCTTGTGCATCTGATTTATTTCACTTAACATTATGATCTTGGGCCAGGGATATACTTCAGCAGCACAGTGCCTGCCTGGCAAGTGCCTGAGTTGTATTCCTGGTACAAAAAAAAAAAAAAAAAAAAAAAGAGGCCCAGGCCTGCCATGGGCTGGAAGAAAATTATGATCTCAAGGTACACCATTTATCCTGTGAATGACTCAAACTTATATTCCTTTATGGCAGAGTAGTACTTGTGTGTAAATACTATATTTTCTTTATTCATTCTTCTGTTGATGAACGTGTAGGCCACTTCCAAAATTTAGGAATTAGGGATTATGCTGTTATAACCATAGGCATCCTGTAGTATGATATCTTAAACTCTTTTAGGAAAATACTAAGAAGGGGAATAGCTGAGTCAAATGGAATTTCTAGTTATAGTTTCTTTTAGAAATCTCTATTCAGATTTCCATAATGGTTGTCCTAGTTTTCAGGCCTACCAACAATATAGAAGGATTCCTTTTGCCTGTAACCTTTATTAATAACATTTATTATTACTTGAGTTTTTGATGATGGCCATTCTTTCTGGGATAAGGTTTCAATGTTATTTTAATTTGCTTTTCTCTAATGGCTAGCGAGGTTGAACATTCCTTCATGTATTTATTGGCCATTTTTACTACTTCTGTGAGGTATCTATTCATTTCATGTGCCCATAGTTTGACTGGGTCTTTTATTTGGGAGGGGGGGGTCCTAATATTTTTAGTTCTTTATATATTCTAAATATTAGTTGTCTGAAGAAGAGCTGGCAAAAAAAATTTCCTATTCTGTAGGTAGTCTTTTCACTCAGTTGTTTCTTTTTCTTTTTAATTTGATATCTGTTATGGTTTGGGGGTTTATTTTGCAAGGGGAAACAGTATAATACAAGACACATATTTTATAAGATTATTTATAATAGTCACCCAAAGAACCATATACAAGAGAGTGCAGGAGATCTGTCCACACACTAAGGACCAAAAAATCCAGCTGAGGGCCTGGATCCCACGATAATGTCCTGCATGAGTCCAGCTGAAGGCCTAGAGCCCATAATAATGCTTCCCATGAATCCAACTGGAGGCCCAGAGCCCATGACAGTGTCTCATGCAGGCCTGTTTTGTGGATCTGCACTGGAAGGCCCAAAGGTCAGTGGTGGAAGCTAGAAAGTTTGTGCTAGTGGGATGAAGTATCTGTGCTAGCAGGCTGAGGGATCTGTACTGGAGCCAGGAAGCGATGCTCAAAATAAGAACCAGAGCCCCCCTCCCAAAAGAAAGTACCATGGCCATCCTCAGCAACAGTGAGGTCCCGAGCTCCTCCGATGATCAGGACAGCCGAGTTCCCATCAGGAAAGCCAACACGACAAGCTTCTCCAGGACACTGAGTAGTGCGCCATCTTCCCCTCCAGAGCCAGGAAGCGATGCTGAGTGAAGCCCAGAGGCCCCCCAAAGTGAACCGAAGCCATTCTCAGTGCCAACAAGGTCTCGAGCTCCTTGGAGGATGAAAACAGCCAAGCTCATTAGGAAAGCCAGCATAACAAGTTCCTCCAAGAAAATCAACAGCTCTTTACAGCTTCCCTCTGTTTCCAACAGGCTCCCAACAACTTCTTCCAGCTCCCAACAGCCCTCTTCTTCTTTCCCAGTTCTGCCTCTTGTGCTGCTGAGAACAGTCCTCAGGTGGGCCTCCCACTCCCAGCACCACACTCACTCAGTTCAGCTGGGTGCTATAAGTTGACCAGTTGTCAATCCACTACGTTATCATACCACTTGTTGATTTTTGGTGCTATTTCCTGTGCAACCGGATTTCTGTTCAGAAAGTCCTTGCCTACACCTTTTTAAAGTATATAATATCACTTCATTTTCTTTGATATTTGCCTAGGTTTCTCTAATATTCAGCTTATCATTTCCCACATTTCCTGAACCTGTTGATCTTGGAGACCTAAAGTTCTTAGTGCTATACTGTTCCCTCGAAATATTGAAATTAGGGCATGCTTCAAGGGCAAAAGGTTAATTATACTGGGTTGCTGTATTTTATTCAAAAGTGGTTTAGTGTCTGTATTGTATATCTGTTCAGAATGATTTAATCCATTAAATGGCTTCTTGAATTTTCCTATGCATTTTCTTATCTTAGTCATATGTCAATATAATTTTCTGGGAGAACAGGACCACAAATTTAGGATTGAATTTGGATAAAAAGTCATTTAAAGTTTGGTTGGTTTGGTTAACAAGGAAATGTTGCTGGTTCCTGTTTATCACTTTCTGGAGTTTGGTCTCAGTCTAATTCGGCTTTTTCTTATAGTGTCATTGAAAAGGTGCATGGGGAAGAAGTCAGTAATTATCGCTAGAGAATTCTGTGTAATGATAGCCTTATGGAAATCTTTGTAGGAGAAATATTAAAAGCCTGTAATTTTATTACGTATTTTGTTTGTAGGCAGCATTTTCCCTCTTTGTTGTTTTTTTCTTTTTTAACATCTTCCTGTTTGGAGGCATGCTGGTTTAGTCGGGTAACTACAAGAATATTGGAGTCTTGCATATTTTTAGTGTTTAGGTCCATTTTGTGAGGCAAATGAACCTACTCTGTCTTAGTGCAAGATAAAAGATAAGATCATGGGGAAATTATGTCAGTG